TTCCGATCGCGAGAGATGATTTCGTGATCAGGAAACGTCAGCAACGTCGAGCGTCCCAGATGGGTTTCGCTCAAAGCGGCAACATGTATATTGTACTTCTTCAACATATGTTTGAAGGTGTCACTTTTGGAAGGCAGGGATCTACAGTTCCATTGCAAGACATTGAGAGAGTGTTAAAGTGCGAACGTGATGTGATAATATGAAAAGATTACTTGCTGAAGAAGTGCCCAATGAGAAATGGTTGATCGAATCGACGTCGAATCGACCTCGAATGCAGTCATCGATATATCATCGATGGCAGTTATCGATTCGATGTGATTTTGTCCAAGAAATCGACCTGTTTTCGATATCGATTAAAAATCGATCCGGATCAATTTCACAATACATATATTGCTTTTGTATATTGCGTAAGGTTTGGTGTGCTCGTGGGTTTGGGAGTTAAAGGTGCAAACAAAAGATCTCCTGAGAGTTGCTTTCTTGTTTATATTTCCACTTATAATAAGTACAGTATAATAAATACACTTAGAATAAGTACAGTACCACATATAATTAAGTACAGTAGAATAATTAAAGCTGTACACAAATACAAGTAAACGAAAATGTGACTAATTATAGATATATAATCATAACATAAAATACTGTAATTTTTACGGGCGTAAAAATTCACATTAAGGAAAAATCTGCAAAAGAGAAAGAGAAAAAGAAGCAATGTCTCTCAGAAAACAAAAATAATTATAGAATGCCCACAGTTTGTGCATGACATTGCAATGAAAGACTCAAATACAGTTTCAAATCATCTTTAAACTAAAAAAACAATCTGACATTAATGACAGATATACATAGCATAAAATTAACAGCAAAGGACTAATAAATATAAACTCTTTAAAAAAAAACTTTTAGTCCTTAATCTTTAAAACAAAGAAAAACATCATGTGCTATTCTTCAGTAAGATTATATACAATATATTAAAAATATGTGAAAAAAAACTGAAACTTAAATAATAAATAAGTACACTAGTACTTAATAGAATATATTTGACTAGTTTATCACACTAGCCTTTCTATTACTTTCTATTTATTGCTTCCCTTTAGTAGAATATATTTGACTAGTTTATTACACTAGCCTTTCTATTGCTTTATATTTATTGCTTTCCTTTTGACTGGAAATTTTTATGTTCAGTGCCACTTGACCTCTTGTGATGTGAACTGTTCTCCTTATCTCGCCACGGAGCGTCCTTAAGCCAATCTTTGACTCCACGAACAGTCTGGGAGAGATCTGTATTCTC